TTACGACAGAATTCAGAAAATATTGGATTTAGAAAACAATAACATACTTGTTTTATTGAATTAATTATGATAAAAATAATAAAAATATACACATTTAATAATAATACACATAAATAATAAATATATATAATAAATATGTACACATTTAAAAGTCATGTATTGTTAGCTACATTATACAATATATTACATGAATAGATATATAACCCAAATTTATTGCGAACAATACATTGTGTAAAGTGACCTTTACACTAGTAGTATATTAAATTATTTTTGACTTTTTGTATTGTAAACAAATATTGAATTTGTTATGTTCGAGATAGCATTGTTGTGCAGTTTGTATTAGATTAAAATGAATATTTAATAAATAGTCCAGAAACTTTCACAATTCTGCGTTTGACATAAACACAATATTTGTTTAAAAACTCAGAAAGGCCGAAAATAATTTAGTACTTCTAATATTGAAAGGAAAAATGCGCATATGCTTTTACTCGATATACTATAACTTTCTGGTGGGAGCGTATGTGAACAATGTATCAGCTTATCAATTGTATAAAAGAAAGAAATGTATAGTAATCTGTGATATATGTGCTAAAACACCTTCATGTAATGTTTATTTTATGTTTATATAGGACACGCTTGTTTTCGTAAGTAAATGAAGCACGCATGCCAGAAAGTTTAAATGATACATATACAGTGCGTCCCATTTTAAAGGATCCACTTAAATATCTCAGAAACACTGCGTTAAATCGAAAAATGTTTAAGACAAAAGTTGTTTGGCTTGAAGGGGGACATCAAATAGCGATAGCAGTTTGTTAATGAATGACACCACTTTTGAGATATTCACTAATCAATTTTCTTAAATAGAAATCCAATTTTTTATTATATTTTCTTTTTCTACCAATTAATTTGAACAACTTTTGTCTGAAACATATTTTATTTGCTTAATAAAATTTAAGATATATGAGGAAAACTTGGTATAATAACTTTTTCAACATTTAACTTACGTTATCTCGCGAACTATACGTCGAAAGAAAAAATAGTATTAGACTTTTTTATTTCATTTACTATAAAGAACATATTACTATAATAGTGTCCTAATTTTTGTAATAATATAATAGTAAAACTGTTGGTATTTCTAGGTCTAATGACGTCACAAAGTATGCATTGAATGTATGCCTGCTATTTCCAGCACGTCTGTCTATCTGGGTATTATTCAATACATTCTTTACTTCATTGGATGTATCATTTTCTAAACTAATTTCTTTATCTTTCACCATGTTACATACGGTATCTGATTTTGGTAATTCTGCTACATTGCAATGGCCATGATAGTTTAATTCACGTCTAATAAGTTGATTCTTTCGCCTGTTTGATAAGTGTTGAAAACTTTTTGACATTATCATGTCTTTCCTGTGAACATATTAATACTGAGAATAATTATATTTGTAACATAAAAATATATCCATTTAACAAATACTTATTTAATACACTGTACATTCAGAAGATATTTAACAGATATTGTGTTCCGTACGGCACGTGATGCCGTACGGAAAGTCGGTGCGAGTCAACGCTGCAAGGCGGGCGGCCTGGTGCCCGGGGCGTTCTCGCTGGCGGCGGGGGACTCGGGTTCTCGCGAGCGAGCGCGCGGGACCCCCACTAGGTCCAACCGCGGCCGCTACACGGCGCGGCTCGCGATTCCGCTGCCCGCGGGCAAGATTCGACCGCCCGGATATATAACCAGGCGCGCGATGCCTGGTCCTTGCCTTGTCTTGTCTTCTGCCTGGCCAGTTTAGGTAGCAAGTAGTGCTACGCGTTAGTGCATCGTGTACTGGTGATTACCGACGCGCTTCCTAGGGCGATCGGTATTTCGTTCAGATTCGAACCACTGCTCTATAGACTCTGCTGAGTTGAAGGTGGCGCCGATACACCCTGCTGGGTTGAGGCAAATGGTTCGAATCTTGTTTTGTGATCTCGGACTCTCACGGCGTTGCCGTGATCTTAGGAGCGACTCGACCGTCTCCTCGGAGCTTCGAGCTCCCTTATTGCCCAAGTGTCCGTAGGGGGGCCTTTGGCGGTTTTGGAGCGGCTCGGTCGCAGTCCAGAGCGTTCGCGCTCCGTCGTCCAAGTGTCCATTGGGAACTTGGTTTTCTCGCAGGAGCGACTTGGTCGTCCTGCGAGCCGGAGCTCTCGGAGCTCCGTTTCCACGCGTCCTCGGGACCGTGGTTGGCTATTGGCCATTACGCCCGGAAGGGCAGGCCATCCGAAACGACGGAGGTCGTTTCGTTGCACATCCTTGGCGTGCTTCGGGTGCCGCGCACCGTTGACGTCACGGACGTGTGTCCTGCGGGACTTGCGTAGGCGACGTTGTTTCGCTTGTATATAGCTACGTTTAGGTTCTTCTGCGTCGTTCTTCTGCGTTATTCTCTTCTGCGTTACTACTGCGTTTATTGCGTTCATTGCGTTTACACTGCGTGTCACTTTACGTCGGCACGTGCGCGTGCTTCTTCTCTCTTGTTCTCGTCGCCGTCCCTGGGCATGGCCCAGTCGGCGCGCGACGTTGCCTGATCAGCAGGGTCTATGGTCGCCTTACGAGGCCCCGGCCTTTGATCAGGACGACCGGACGGTCACCGAGCAGACTCGAGCGAGCCTAGACGCAGGCGGACGTCGCTCTGCGATCCCGTCCTTCCAGCCAGCTCTTCGGAGCTATCATATGTTCGGGCTAGTTCCGAACATATTGTGTATCGTATTCCCTTGAAACGTGGCAAAATGCTACAACATCCAACAAAATTACATATAATATGTGCATGTCAATTGTAACGCTAAGTACTTTTCATTATTAGTAAATATGTAGAAATGCAACTTCACCAAAAACCGTATTTCTTTTTCATAATCTATAAAACGTGCTACAAAAATTTATATATATACATTTTAAGACTGAAGTATAAGATGTTTTATCTAATGTAACCTAACTTCTCTGTATTTTGCTGTGACAAACTTTCTTGCTATTTAATTGATTTAGTTACATATTTTAATAAAACAAATAATAGAGGTTTGGAATAGCCAGAGTAAAGTAGCAAAGCAACAAGAGAGTTGGGACAAGAAAGTACTTTGCTAATTATCAGTTGCATAAAAGACAAAAAACCAATTGCAAAAGAACTTAACTCCCTTGTATTTTGCTGCAGCTATCCTATATTTCTCTTTGTTATTTATTTAACCTTTTTAAATAAAACATAGTACGGAGGTTTGGGACAGCCGCAGCAAAATACAAGGAAGTTAGGTTCAATTAGGTAAAGAACTTTATTCCCTCATCTTAAAATGTATATTTCTATTACATATAATATATATATTACATATATTTTTACATATATTATGTATATTACATATATATATATATTACATATATTACATATATTGCATATATTTTATGGCTTGTTTTATGACATGATTATTAAAAAAACGAGTATTTACAAAAAAGATTACCTTATTCAATTGTATCACAATTTCTTGTCTGTAAATCGTATCGTCTATAAAACCAAACGGGAGATCAGGAACGGCAGCTACACACAACTACACATTGCATTGTTCGAATAGGTTAAAGAGGATGCGTTCCGATATTCACTGCCAGTCCCGAAAATACATAGTTATAATATATAAATATCTACTATAATAAATAACTTATAATATAACTTATAATATAACTTAAACGTAACTAACATGAATAATCTTATGGAATATTATTGTAAATTAATAATTATTTATTTAATACTTGTAAAAATACAAATTCATTCAGATATTTTTCAATATAGTGTTATGTTTCTTCTACTATAAGTAATCTGTATATGTGTTTATGTATACACATATATACACGTATTCTTTGCAAACTTTATATTATTAATTTGTTAACTGTTTCATTTTACACATTTTTTTTCGTTGTCATATTTGAATGGATTAGTGTTGCTAGGCAACTACCATTTTTTAATAACCAATGAATGAGTGTTCCTGTCCAAAATGGCGACAACTGATTCCCCTTACGTCTTAGGAATCATACCCCTCATCCTCGGTGCCCACATATGCTCCCTCCATATCTTCTTACTTCCATGACTAATACTAATATAACATAACCTACCTACTTGTTATCGGCACGCAGTTCATGTATCGAGTAACGTGCGTTTTGTATTTATGCGTTATTCATACGTTTTCTTCTTTATGTGATTTTAATAATTAATCGGTAGTAATTGACTGTGTGTGTGGTCATATAGCAATATGAAGACATCGAATTCCTACAAAGTAATAAACGAGTGAGTGAGTGAGTGAGTGAGTGAGTGAGTGAGTGAGTGAGTGAGTGAGTGAGTGAGTGAGTGAGTGAGAGAGAGAGAGAGAGAAAGTGTGTGTGTGTGTGTTAACATCACGTTTTCACCCATCATACAAACGTAACAAACAGCTGATTGCAGTAAACATCCCTTGTAATCATCTGTGTCGGATGATCCCAAAGACGAGATCTACACCTCTGGTATGTAATTTTGAAAATAAATATATTAATTATTTCAGCATTATCTCAATTCAGTTTTAATTACGCCGAGAAAATATATATATATTCATATATACATGTTCATTTGGGAAAGTAGAAGAAATGAGGGAGAGTTGGGACAATATCATTTTCTTTTTAACAGTTGATAATATACATTGGAGTGAAATACAGCCGATGTATCATTTCTAGCAATCCTTATAGTATATATTAGCAGTAAAAAAATATAACCATAATATCCATAAAACGATTTACTGTCCATTCAACACATATATAAATACTTCAATCATTATTGTTGCAGCCTTTTTGTTGCAACAATCAATAAATAACTGCAAAATTTCCCTGATAGCAATTATAAAAATATGTAAGATCTGACAAGATAAGTTGTACGTCATATTAATTTTATTGATGGTTATTTGTTGAGTGCCATAGTAAATAAACAGAACAGTTGAAATATTTTACAAATATGTGCTTCATTAATTACAAGTTTTATGGATTGTCATTTTATGGATATTTCTTGTTACTATAAGAATTGTAGGTAAGGATTTCTTCTGACAAGACTTCGTTAGTCTTTGAGTATCTAAGAATCTTAATCATAGAAAATTATTTGAATAAATTGGTTTGTTATGAGGACACAATAACGTACAGGCCATAGAAACTATATAACTAATAAAAATCTATAACAACTAAAAAGGACGTTAAGCATTTATGTGTTTAGCGATATATATACTGCTTCGACGAAATTAGCCTTCATTGTCGATATTATCACGAGGAGCTGCTGCAACTTCTATACTTTTGCCGCATTTCTCAGGCGCGTGACGTAACCACTATTTAACAAAGGTGCAAATCAGTGCATTAGTGGCTTAAAATTTGTTGAAACTATTGTTGAAACACGTCTGAAAAACGAAGAAACAAGTTTTAGATCTTAGCATGCCGATGTCAGTAGTCATAAACTTTTGAAGATTCAAATCCGATATTTATTTGTTCACTTATATAAAACTTACCTATTACAATTGTACAAAAGCGCAGTTCGGAAAACTATTATTTGTTTCTTCTACCAAGCCAACTGAATATTTCCGCAAATTCAAGCACCAAGCTGCAACATGTTATGAACAGTATGTTTTACACTTTAGCTGCATAGTTTCTGTAACTGTTTTATCTATGGACAATTTTAACATTACTAAATGTATTTGGCAAAAACCACGTCTAAAAGTGTGACATTAACGAATTGCTTATAAAATAAATAATATATTATATTATAAATAAATATCGTACCAACTTAGCACGATTTCGTTCGTCCACTAAGAACGTCTCCAACGTCTGTAACATCCCATCGTTTCTCCAATGACACTGACCTTAACATATGTTGTCAATGACATCATTCTGAGCAATATGCAAAAGTTTTTAACTGTCACTCGATATTTGTTAAAAAGTTATTAACAAAAGAAGTTTCATTAATTGAGCGTAATTTTTCGACACTGTGTACATTCAGATGTGATAGATGAACTTTATACATATGTGAGCAGAGAAGAGGCTTCATATTTTTAGAAACACGTACTGTTTACAAACAAAACAAATGTTATTCACGTCGTTGTAGCGCTACCCACCTAAGTAGCGCTAAAAGTAAAAATAGAATAAAACATATTTAAGAAATTAAAAATGATCTCGACTTGAGAATAATATGTCGAAGGCTTGAGAATAGTATGTCGAAATCAACCAAGATTATCACCTTTTCCTTATTTCAAACTAAATTGACTTGTTTTGATAGTAAATTAGCTTAACTTTCACTTGTTAATTTTCGAGTCTTATGACTCGGAAAGTACTTAATAAAAAAAATATTTCATTATAATGTTTTGAAAAAGTCTGGGAGTGAGCTATAAGAATATGACATGAAAAATAGGGTCCCATTTAAAAAATTTAAACTGATTTTAACTTCACCTTGAGAAGATTATTCAAAGTCAAGTTCATCATATGGTCTCCTTGAAACCATGCAACTTTTATCTGAAACATTTGTATCTATCGAGCTCAGTTTTTAAGATATTCAGATCGACTTTTTACAATAGAACACCCCCTATATATATATATATATGTATATAATTATATATATATATATATAATTAGCTTAACTTTCACTTGTTAATTTTCGAGTCTTATGTATATATATATATATATGTATATATATATGATGAAACTTTATTTTGCATACTAATTTCATGTATTCTTCATCATTGGCAGTTTGAAATTTTTCAATATCTGCAACTGATGATATTGGCAACAATTGTAGCTTCTCGGGTACATGCCTACGACTATTGCTCATCTGCGTTAATAGTTTGTTCAACTTTTGGTGTATTTTTCTGTAAAAAGCATAATATATATAAATAATATAAAATCTGTAAAAAGCATAATATATACAAATAATATAATAATATGTTAGGATATAAAATGACTAACATTGTTTATGTACGTAATGCGTTTTAAACTTACTGAACTTCCAACTAAATTGATGTTACAATTGAAGCAAACTTTGCCGCAAAGCTTCATCGAAATGTGATTTTAGCACTCTTGGCTATCTGGGTACTTATACTCATATAGCACAGCAATGCTTAAAAGTGCTTCCAAAATGTTTTTTCAACGCTACTGTATGCTACATGGATATATATTCATTAGAAGATAAATGTGAATAAAATAAGGAAAGAAATGTTTCATTTATAATAAAATATAGTAATAAATATTTAATCTTAATGTATATGCTTGTACGTTGTGTATGTGTGTGTGTGAGTATTATCTAGAGAAAACTCTGATAGAAATCGGATAGACGTCTAAAAAACATCAATTCGATCTCCCATTTTTCTTGGGATATGCACATCATAATTGAAACTTGATAGGTGAGAATAATAACTATAAAATAATAATTCATGTAACAAAAATAATATAAAAATGCAAACGATTTCACTAACAAAGCGTTGAAAATAAACAGATTTTATGTCATTATAACCTTAACAGTTATGATGATAAAAAAAATATATATAATGTTATAACAGTTATAAAATACAAATGAGAAATAAGACATCATTTAAGAATAAAAGAAGTTTTACAACTTACTTTATTTCTGTTTGGCATGATGTTTCTTGCAAAAAAGTGATTATGTTCACTAAATTTGATTGCCACCATATGCCGCGTGTGCACTTGGAAATAACGAGAAATGATTTCAGTTCAATTCAGTTCAATTCGGTATATAGCTTTAGGTAGAAGAGTGCACCCATACGCCGTTCTCCGGGAAATGATTTCAGCGAAACCTAAAGATGCTTTTAAAACCCATCTACAATAGCTGCAAGAATAAGGTTCTAAGCGTAAGCAGTAAGGAATAGACCAACCATAATCGATTATTCTTATAATAATCGATTGTAGTTGATCTATTCCTTACTGCTTACGCTTAGAACCTTATTCTTGCAGCCATTATAGATGAGCCTTTAGGCCAGGTCTACCATATATGTTGTAAGCTGTAAGCCGTAAGAACTGACCAATTATAGCCGATTATTTTTGTAATAATCGACTGTGATTCGCCAATTCTTACGGCTTACAATTTACGACATATATTTTAGATCAGGCCTAAAAGCTCGTCTATATTAGCTGTAAGAATAAGGGCCAGAGCACGAACTTTTGCATAACGCATAATATACAACGCATAAGGGAATCAACCAATCAAAGTTCTTCATTTCTATCTTGAGTAGGGAAATGAAAAAACTAATTGGTTTATTCTCTTATGCGTTATGTATTATGTGTTATGCAAAAGCCTGTGCTCTTGCCCTAAGGCTGTAAAGTTGCAAGACACGAAATGAAATATTTTTATTCGTTGACAGCTTACGTTACAGCCTTACAGCCTTACTCTTTCAGCTATTGTAGACGAGCTTTTAGATGGGACAGTCAGAACGTTGAGTGTCAAGCAATTATCCAATGATAGCATTCTATGTAGAAATGAGAGTTCTTATTGGATAAAACTCGACGCTCGACGCTGGAAAATAAACATGCCACAAAAATAACTAATAAAGATTAATTCCATAATCTCAACAATATATATAACAACAAAAATATATAATAACTATATATAATAATAACTATATAATAATAAGAATATAAAGCTATATAATAATATAAAGAATCTATACACGAGTATATCCAAGCAATGCTATGTACAATGAGACCTCTTTTAATTCATGCACTAATAATATAAAGCTATATAATAACATAAGCTATATAATAATAATATATATAACAATAAACATATATAATAATAAATATAAAAAAAAATATATATATTCCGGTTTCATAGCATGTGACGCCTTCCGGTTCCCTGTCTCTATCCTATTCGGTCATTCCAATCCCCTTATTAGTGATTTTTTTCTGACATGGCTTTTTGAATACTACCCATCCACGCCTTCTTCTCTCTAGCTATATATATATATATATATGTGTGTGTGTGTGTGTGTGTATATGTGTGTGTGTAGAAATAAATATATAATAATAACTATATGATAATAACAATATGAAGTTATATAATAATATAAAGAATATATATATATATATACATATATATATAGTTACTTTGTTGCTTTATACTATTCCCTATCCTTTGCGTTTTTATTATAACTGTTATATCCATCTTCATCTCCGTTATACCCCTTTCTACATCTTCCATCATCCCTCTCAAACCACTGTACGTTCCATGTTCCATGTCCCAAAATTCATTGTGCTTTTTCGTTTCCGTATTTGTCTCCGTAACCATCCATCCGAATTCCGAGGCTTATTACAAAGATTTTTTGCCATCTTCCTTTTTACAAGTAGTGGATTGCAAGTCCCCCGACCTGGAGAACCAGGTATTTGTATTCAAGGTTCCTTCTTTTAGCCTTCGATAAGCAAATATCCATCTACAAGGCAGTAGCTTTGCCAGACAAAAACTCTTACCGAGTGCTATCATTCGGGCCAGATGAACCCTGGTTTTTTACGTGGTTATTATTGTTCCCCTTCACCTGGCTTAGGACAGGCTTTGGTGAGTTTAAAAATATATAATAATAACTATATAATAATATAAAAAAAAAATATATATATATATAGTTACCTTGTTGCTCTATACTATTCCCTTTCTTTTGTGTTTTTATTATAACTGTTATATCCATCTTCGTTATACTCCTTTCTACATCTTCCATTATCCCTCTCAAACCACTGTACGTTCCATGTTCCATGCTCCAAAATTCAATGTGCTTTGCGTTTCCGTATTTGTCTCCGTAACCATCTATCCGAATTCCGAGGCTTATTACAAGGATTTTTTGGCATCTTCCCTTTTACAAGTAGTGGATTGCAAGTCCCCCAACCTGGAGAACTAAGTATTTTTATTCAAGGTTCCTTCCTTTAGCCTTCGATAAGCAAATATCCATCTACAAGGCAGTAGCTTTGCCAGACAAAAACCCTTACCGAGTGCTATCATTCGGGCCAGAGGAACCCTGGTTTTTTTACGAGGTTATTATTCTTCCCCTTCACCTGGCTTAGGACAGGCTTTGGTGAGTTTAAAAATATATAATAATAACTATATAATAATAACAATATGAAGTTATATAATAATATAAAGAATATATATATATATATATATATAGTTACCTTGTTGCTCTATACTATTCCTTTTCTTTTGTGTTTTTATTATAACTGTTATATCCATCTTCATCTCCGTTATACCCCTTTCTGCATCTTCCATCATCCCTCTCAAACCACTGTACGTTCCATGTTCCATGTCCCAAAATTCATTGTGCTTTTTCGTTTCCGTATTTATCTCCGTAACCATCCATCCGAATTCCGAGGCTTATTACAAGGATTTTTTGCCATCTTCCTTTTTACAAGTAGTGGATTGCAAGTCCCCCAACCTGGAGAACCAGGTATTTTTATTCAAGGTTCCTTCCTTTAGCCTTCGATAAGCAAATATCCATCTACAAGGCAGTAGCTTTGCCAGACAAATACCCTTACCGAGTGCTATCATTCGGGCCAGATGAACCCTGGTTTTTTTACGTGGTTATTATTGTTCCCCTTCACCTGGCTTAGGACAGGCTTTGGTGAGTTTAAAAATATATAATAATAACTATATAATAATAACAATATGAAGTTATATAATAATATAAAGAATATATACGCGAGTATACCCAAGCAATGCTATGTATAATGAGACTTCTTTTAATTTATGTAATTATAAATAATAAATACATGTGATGCTGTGCTAGTCTGTCTTCCGCCTTCCTGTCAACATGACCGTTCCATTGTCTATGACGCATCCTCACCCATATGACAACGTCGTTAATGTTATTCCGGTGTCGCAGTTTGGCATTTCTCATCCTGTCCAATTCTAGAACCAAGAGATGGTCAGATCCCACATTGGCAGACGTAATAAAAATATATAACTATATAATAATAACAATATAAAGCTAAATAATAATATAAAATATGTATACGCAAGTATATCCAAGCAATATTATGTATAATGAAGAAACTTCTTTTGATTCATATAATAATAATATAAAGCTATATAACAATAATACAAATGAAGAATATTTAAGCAAAGAGAATGTGTTGGTCATAGTAATGATATATATAACGACATATTTACTTATTGCTTTCATTTCGAGACAAAGGGATTCATATTGAATTAAACAGGGCCTACTGAACAAGGAAACTTGTTTCAATTCCTCCTTTCCGTTATGTTTGTTTTTATTTATTTGTTTTCACAATTGACCATCATTTTTCTTCCTCGGATAATTTGGAGACATTTTTTAATTCCTGTAATAAATTTTCACAATTAGCACTTGAAACAAAGATGTGTTTCGTTTGTCAGATATATTTAATTTGTTTTATTTTATTAAGCATCATAATAAATATAAAGATAACTAGTACTAATAATTTTTATCTGGAAAATTGTGCACTGTATAGCGTTTGAATTTAAATATATGTGTTGATATATTTTTCCCTCCAATGATAATAGAAATAATCATATCGAAAATGCTGCATAAAACGATGCTCTTAGTACCAACAGAATTTTCTTTTATGTTTGACCTGTTCTGATGTTATAAATTCTTATCGATGTACACAAACGATTATGAATATATTTAGGTTAGATATCAAGATGTACTCTTAAGGTTCAAAGTTCAAAGTTCAATAGATGGCTCCGAGCAGAGCAGTTCTACTCCAACGCCAATCATCGATGTTAGGTGAATATTACGAAATAGAGACAATGCGGTCCTCACAATAAAAACTGTGCGCAGTTACGAGAACCACATCTAACCGCTACGAAGGCGAACAAAAGACTAAGTACTCCAAGGTCCGTAAGTAGAGGAACGGAACAAAGTCAGATCCTCTCACGGCCGCCATTTTGGAACCAGAGAATCTGTGTTGGTGTACATGATACTATGTACGTGTAGTATTATAGTTTAGTTGTGTGAGTGAACAGGTAATCAAAACATAGTTTAAGATGTAGTCAGAAGTAATCAAAATATAGTTTAAACACATTCCAAAATATCAGTGAGAATTTTAAGAAGAAAAACGGTTACAATGCCGATTACAGTACAAAAATTGCAAAAAGCGGAAATAATTTTTGACCTGACGGTATATGGTTAATCAGCTGAGTTACGATTGCCGCTATTTTTGAGCCAAATCGTGTAAAGTGGATGAGAGAATCTTCGTTCCGTTCCTCTATTTACGAATCTTGGGATACTCTTAGAAAAGGAGTGATGAGATCATAGGCTTATATAGATAGACTGCGCATCCTTATGGGCGTGCTGAAGACTACATTAGAGGACAGAGTTATTGCGTGAGAGAAGCTCTCTCTCTCTCGCTCTGTATTAGGAGAGAGAAGAAAACGACACAAGGGGAAAGGTAACGTCGGGTGCAGTCCAGCGACCGCTACAAATGCTTCCAAGTGTTTCTCTGTCCTATTCTATTTTCCGGATAAGTCGTAACAATGATTAAAGCAACCCATGGACCTAAGAATCTATGGACAGAGCGCTAAGCATATAGGTTGGAAAATATGCGGAAAGGGGGGCATAGCGCTGTCTCTTTCTACAATAGGATACCGTCGGGTGTTTCCGTCACACACACGATGATTTCCAAAAGACTTATATATGCCATATTCGTTAATTTCGGAATTAAGATACGTAATCTGAATCGTTTCTAGTCGTTAATTTAATGAAATATAGATGTATATTCAACATAAATAACATTAACACACACTAAACATCTAAACTTACTTTAAATATACTTATATATAACATACTATATATAATATATATATATATAATAATACTTATATATAATATATATATAATAATACTTATATATAAGATATATAGTATGTAATATTGCATATCACAGCAGTATTATAATAATACTGTTGTAATATTACGTGCATATATTTGGATATATTCGGATTATATCTTTTATTAATATTTGGGAGATATCTTTTATTAATAAAATAATAATTATTGTATATATATATATATATTGTCCCTTAAATAATGTAAGCTTATTATAATATTGTCTTTCAGTTTCATATTATATGTTTTCATATTATATTCTTTAAGAAAATGACAAATGCGAGTTTTTATATAAGTTTTCATGAATACCCTTATCAAATAAGTACGATGATTTTCCAGAGGTTCGTGGTTTTTCATGTGATCATTTAATTGTTGAAAAATGTTACTGCCTATAAATTCTTCTATAATATCATTTGCAAATGCATTATTTTGATATTTATGTGTTAGCAATTTACCGTGATTTTTCAATAGCGTTTTGATGGCTTTCTCTGTATTTCTGCATATAAATGTAACGTCTGCAGATGGATGTAACAGATACCCACGTGATTTACTTTGTATTAGGGCATGGTATGTTGTCTCTTCCGACGTAGTCAATAATACTTTTAAATACTCAGTACATTGTAGAGTTTTTTGAATTTTTCGTACGATAAATCCAGCTATATAAACAATAATGTTAATACCAAATTCTGTGGTATAAGATATATTTTCTAAATAATCATGGCTTTCGTCTGTATGAAATATATCAATCCAATGATGTAATGAAGATGGTGAACTGTTATTAATAACATCGACTGCTTTCTTTGCTGAAGATACATTTAAAATTGGTATTTCTTCCAATGCTATACATTTTCCTGTCGAGGGTGCTGATACTTCTGTATGAATAATAATTTTTTTAAAAGCAGATTTAAATTGTCTTACTGTAGGGTTGTTGTTAAAACCATTATGTGACCGAATAACACCAAAAAACATTTCGAGGTGATCTTGACTTAATTTATATGTTGGTATATATGTTAAAATATTTTCTTTTTTGGAAACCTCTTCGAATAAAGTGAGTAAACTTTTAATGTCAACTACAAAGCCAAGAAAACCAGTTTTTTTTTCGAATCTAAAACTTTAATAACTTTATTTGAAGAGAACCGTAATTGTAGACCGTATATATAATCAAAAGTGTCTTCAAGTTTTTATTTGATTTGTTCATAATTGTCAGAATTAATTGGTTTTAAAAATCCATATTGCTTCATAGATTTAAAATTGAAAATGTCGAATAAATCATTAAATGGTTTGAAAAATTTAATTGTGATAGCGGAACCTTGGAAAGCTTTCAACTTTAAAGAATCTTTACAAAAAGTAAGCGCATCAGCAATTGATTGACTCAAAAGCTGCGCTGCTAATTTAACCTTCGTTTTTTGTTTTGTGTACTCAATATGTCTTATACTTAATTTGTTGCTTAAATGAAATCCTTCGGCTGTCTGTAGCTTATAAAGTTCTTTCAAATACTGCCATTCAATTTCTTCTCCATTGTTATCTATTAAATTTTTAGATGCTCCTAATGTATTTCTTACTAATTTTAACATGTGACTGGCATCAAGAAAAGCAAATATTTTCTTCTTCGTTGATAAATGCTGAAAATATGTTTTAAAATTATCTATTTCAAAGTTACATCCTAAAGTTTTCAGTGCAATAAAATTAGTTGTCGTGTCATCAAACGTTACACATATAATTTGAAAGTTAATTTCATGCAAAGCAATCAAGCATTGATTTATTAAATTAGCTTTTTTTCGGCATTAATACCATTAATTAGGTAATAAGCGATAGGTACTTCCAATTTTCGTTTAAACAAACCACACAAAAAACTAGAACTTCTTTGGCTATCAATGCACCATCGCTTTCAATATTATTGCCAAAATCAACATATCCCAAAATAGTACCAGAGCTATACTCTACATGCTGACGTATAGCCATCTCATCAAACATTAATGCTCCAATTAGTTGATAAGATGAATTTGTGACGTGACATTTTATTAGTTGAAGTGACTCGGAGTTTATTCCCGGTTCACCATGCACCGAAGTATACCATGATGAAAGAGTTTTTGCATGCGGCAAGCAATTGTTAAATTTTTGTCTAACATAATTATATGCATGAGGAGAGTAGTAATATAGCGTGAGAGCAAAGCGATGTAATTCGAGCTCATACAAACGAGGAACTTTCAATTTTTTATTCAAGCATATTTGTCGATTTAGTAAATTCTTATTCCACGCACTTAAATTTCCAATAACTTCCAAGTCTTCCAATGATAACAGGTTTTTTCCTTTTAAAGAACGTAAAACTCTATCTATAGTTTTAATTCTTTTTTTGTACCGCATTTGTTGTTTTTCAGATTTGTATAGTTCTCGGCGAATTGACTGTATTTTCCGTCTATGTACTTCTCGAATTCACTTCTTATTTGGAGAGTTGAACAATCTTTTTGGTGTAATAGAGGTCGATGCATCTATCTTTAGTGTACTACAAATTAGAATACTAACCGGTGTCATAACCTAAAAAATAAAAATTTTAAGTTTTTGTGCTAACATTTCAACATATTTTAATACAATTTTAATATAATATACTGAAATATTTAAAACACAATTAGTGATGTGATGATATGAAAATATCTAGTAGTTTTAGTATAAAAATATGTAACATTTTTTCACAACTATGCTATACTATTTTCATAAACATTTTCATTTCTTGGAATTATATGAAATTGATATTTTCTGTGAAGCAAGATAAGATAATGTTTTATGTTTGCATAAGATCAACAAAAATTCTCCATGACTTACTGTCAATATTGAAGATTTTGGTGTCCCATATATTTTTTCCGATACACTGGCAGAAATATTCGCAGATACATCAACGCTTGCAGATATGTTGATACTTGTGTTTCTTTATGTATTGGGTTATCCGGAAAGTTCGTGCCGATTTTGAAGGAAAATTGAAACACAGGGGATTTAAATTTTAGTATACATTTATTAAATTATATAGGTGCCATTGTTCCTTGTTATTGTGCCATGTTCTACAACCTTTCTCCATCTTTCAGGCAACTTGAAAATTCGGTCCTTCCAGCATCTCTCAGGTTTTTCAGCGAAAAACTTTCCTACGTGATTTTTTATCTCGACCAAAGAGTTGAAGTTTTTTCCATTAAGAGAATTTTGTAATGATCGAAATAGGTGGAAATCAGAAGGCGCGAGTGAATCTGGTGAATATGGTGGATGGGATAGAACATCCCAACCGAGCTCCAACAACTTTTGTCGAGTCATCAAAGATACATGAGGCCGTGCATTGTCCTGATGAAACACGACGTCCTTCCGATTCGCTATTTCTGGACGTTTTTGTTCAATTACTGTCTTTAATTCGTCTAATTGGGAACAATACTTCTCTAAATTTATCGTCTCGTTGTTTGGTAAAAGCTCATAATACAGGATCCCTTTCCAATCCCACTAGACACAGAGCATGACCTTCTTTGGATGAAGACCGGCTTTTGGGATGGCTAAAGGTGGTTCATTCCGCTTTCGCCAAGATCTTTTTCGCTCAACATTATTATAAATGATCCATTTTTCATTCGAAAAATTGCACCGCGCCTGTCATCACAGCGATAAACAAGTTTATTGACCGCTTCATAATTAGCCGCTCTTCATGAAAGCATTTCAGCATGGATGTGGATCTCTTTGGGCGCCTTGGATTTTTTCAAATCGGATTACTAGGAGCAGATTCAATAATATATATATAATATATAATAATATATATATATATAATATATATTATGTGTTGCGGAGTAGCCAAAAATAAGAGACCGAGATTTTTTTATATGCATAATAATATAATATATATGATAATATATATATAATATATATGATAATCTATATATAATATATATTATATTATATGTTGTGGAATAGCTAAAAATAAGAGACACGTTTTTTTATACATGCTCAATTTCATATTTAGGGATTTTAAATCCTTGCAAGGTATATCGGTATACCTGGTTTTCAAAGAGTATATTTCAAAAACTATAAAAAATACAAATGTTTCAAATAAAAGTTATATGGTTTATGACGCTCCTTACAACTGTGTAGTTAGATTTCTTAAAAATATTATATTTTTTTATATTCCCCTCCCACCATCTTTATTTTTGCAAATTGAAAATTGTTATAATGACAAGAATTGTAACATTCTTTAAGCTGAATTCAACCATATAGAGCTTAATTTTGTTAAGTGAAGTTATGATCAGCTTTTTGAGGTTAGGTAAAGCTAGCAATTGTCCAATTCTGACCTCGGATTCGGATTCAGCGGATCAAAATACATAAGAACATACTTGTCCGGTTTTAGGCACCGATCACTTTTTTTGTGGGGCTGTGTTATCTTTAAAATGATTCGTCGTATGAAAAGAATGATAAGGTCATATTGAGAATTGTTAACATATTTTGCATTCACACAAGTTTTGCGCATACAAATGTAGATCGTCTTTTGGAAACCATGCTTAGGGCGGTATAGGAATCTTATATTTAAGACAATCGTAAAATGTCAACGGCAGAGGTATTGCTGCCACACATTCTCGGCTAGAGTATCGGAGATACACAGCTTTCCGGTCAAGCCTACCTTACCAGACTTATCATACAAATATTGATCAGCGATGCGGATGCTAAACGATAAAGAAACATTTCCGAAAGGATCCGACATTCCGTCAACTCTACGACGATTTCTTGTCAAAATATGAGGCTCTGAGTCACATGTCGGCTGACGCTTCCCAGTCGGAGTCAGGAGTGCACT